TGCGAAGCCTAATTTCATCGCCAGCGGCCCGGTCGCCCAGTGAAGCGTGTACTCGAAGACTTCGGCCTGCCACATGGCTGTGAGAAATGGCACATTTTTTGAACATGAGGCCTTCTGTGTTCGGCCTCGCTCACATCCAGCAACATCTTTCTCACCGGCTTCCTTGGCTAACATCAGACTACCCTTCCGGATATGCACGAACAGCATCATTGCTCGTCTCAATCAATGGAAAAGGCTTGCCGACGAGTTTCGTGCCACTGACGAAACCCAACAGCTTCACACTTTGGCCCTCTTGGAGTCCGTCGGCACACCGCTGCGGAAGATCATTCTCTGCTGCCAAGATTTTCCTCTCATCCACGGCCCTCTTCGGCAAGGGGCCCTGGCAGACGACTTCAAGCTCCCTCAGAGGCAGGGCCTTGGATCATTCTCTGGCAATTGAATGCAAAACGACCTGTTCCAAAACACATGTCATTACCTTCACTCTGAGATATGCAGGCAGGTTGCATACATCAGAGCAGGTGTGCCACCCAAGCACACGAAAAAACCACCATGCACATGGACCAAATTGCCACGTTGCAAGATGCTGGGGCCCCAAAAGTCTTTGCTGGCCTCCACCAGGTTCTTGCCCAGCCTATCAAAGATTGGAGCATCTCATGTCACAGAACGAAAGGTTGGAAAAGATCCTGAATCCTTCGTGTTGACTACATTGTCTGTCGAGGGGCCTTTTGGCTTCCAGGAAACCATGGAACCAATTCAGCTGGCTCTTGCAATGGTTGAAGGGCGTGGTGGACTCGAAGGGCTTGAGGATTTGCTCCATGTCCAGATCATCGCCTGGGCATAAGTAGGGCAATGACAAAGAAACTAAGAAAGACTCTTTGTCTCTATAAATTTTGCCACCCAGTCCAGTCTGCTCTCAACACGAGAGCAGAACCTGTGTTTGCCTGTCCAAGCAGCAGGTGGTGGCAGCAGTTGGCTGCCAGATCTTCGACTTGATGCCACGAACAGAGGCACCCTCGAAGTCCTCGGACTTCATCTCGATCGTCGAGGGGCCGTCGTCGCCACACATGCGATTCTGGAAGGAGCGGATGGCACAGCACTGAAGGTTGCACATGGCCGCCTCATTGTTCTTGGAGGACCGGAGGACACTGTCCTGAATGCTGGCGAAGATGTCTTCCACATTCGCCGACATTCCAATCTTGGGATGCCATGCCTCCAAGAGTTCTCGCCCCGGGCCATCAAGCTTCCATTCCCGTTCTGACAAAAATGTCGGAACCTCACGAAAGCATTGATAGCTGACCCACGGACATGCCTTGTAGAGGATCTCGCGAGAGGCAGCATCATCCTCCATCTCCAGCACCAGGGCCCACTCGTTTCTCATCTCCTGCTTGATTCTCTCCTGCAGGTCTGCGTCAGCCTGGGACTCTGTCGTGTCCACCAACAGAGCACCATGCTTGGCAGGCGGGCTCTGCAGGTAGAGGCCGTAAAGGCTGAGCTCGAGGAGGCAGGTCAAGGTAGCACACCAGTGATCCCAGATCAAACCCTCCGTGGCCTCGGGCCGCCGCTCTGTGATCACG